AGGGGATGAGGGCAGGGAGATGGGCAGACGCTCCGACCTGAGGCAGGGAGCCTGAGAGTCTATGGACTTCTGCCGGGGGCGGAGCTTGAGGGGCGGGTGTAGGGGCATACCAGAAGCTGAGAGCTGGGGAGGCGGCTCAATGGAGTAAGCACTTGCCTGGCAAGTGTAAGGTCCTGAGTTCAATCCCCAGCACCACCCACCCACCCATCCCTCCCCACCATACACACACACAAAGGGGAGCTGAGCTGATTGAAGGCTCCCTTGAGTGCACAAGAAAGGTCAAAGGAAGTTGTATCCAGGGCTGGAGTGGGGAAGAAGGAGAAAGTGGTCATTGGGAAGATAAGCTGTTGTCCCGGGGATTCAGCTATGTTGAATCAGGGCCATGATAATTTCAGCAGTTTGTACTCGGCTCAGATCCTATCAAAATACAAATCTGCTCTTGCCACATAAAGTTTTAAAAACGCTTTTGGCAACTGAAAACCCGAGGAAAATAATCTAAGTATCTTAGTGCAGTACATGAGGGCTTGCAAATCTCTATTCACTCTATTTTCTCAGTATTATCCTAATAGTACTGAATTTAACCTAGAAAGTTTCCGTAACCTCCCAGTAACTTTTCATGCTTCTATGCCTTTATGTATTGCTTTCTCTTTACTACTGTACTTTGTCTAGTTATTGGGTTGAGTCATGTCCCCTGCCATCATATTTACTCAGACATGCAGAATGTGGCTCTACTTGGAAATAGATGTCATAAGTTGAAGAGACAAACACAAAAATGGTGATTTCAAAGTTCAGGGAGAGATTGAGTGGTTTCTTGGTTACTTTTTTCTTTTTGCTGACACAAAATAACCAACACAAAAAATAAAGAGGAGAAAGTACTAAGCTAAATTTGTAGAAGTTTCAGTCCATAATCAGCTGGCTCCTAACAATTCAAGGCAGCAGAAAACAGCAAAAGCAACAAGGGCAAGAAGGAGGGGAAAGCAAGCCTCTTTTCCCAGCTCATATTGTAGGGTCGCTGTCAGCCCGCAGGTAGGGGTAGCACTCATACCCTGTCCATGCCCCCAGGATGTTTACAAAGTGAGCACCTGGCCCCCTGCTGAGTCACTTAAACTTCTATACTTCTCAAGTTGACACAAGGTATCAACCATTACAAACAAACCAACAAGCCAAGGAATGCTAAGAACTCTGGGCAACTTTCAAAAGAACTAAGAAAAGGCACCAGTGGTTCCTTCCAGAAAGATTTCATCTTGGCAAGACCCTGATTTAACACAGATTTTTTTTAAAGTTACTAGTCACAGCTCATGATTACTATGACTGCTATAGGAAATTAGTAGTTATTCTCTACTCAAATTCCTACTTAAAAACCTAAGTTCTTTCATTTCCCTTTTCTCATTTTTTAACTTGTACTGTAACGTCATGTACCTCGGTAGTGTCCCAAATTTTCTGATCAAGAAGATTATGGGGCCAAAGAGGAAAGTGATCGATGACATAGAGTGGGCCTAAGGAGAGTCACATGGGGAGAAGATACTCTCTCAGGCTTTCCAGAGAGCACATTGGCCAAGCACTGGCCGTGACTCATCCACATGGCTGCACTGATAAAGGTTCTACAATCTGAGGTACAGGATCTCAGGACAAATCCTGAGGGCATTTCACTGACCTTCTCAGACCAAAAAGCTACAACTCTTGTTGCATAGGTCCTGCTTTACCTTGGTCTTAACCATCCAGCAGAAAAATATGAAGACGAAATTATAAGAAATAAAGCCATGCTGTTAAGTTGAGCTGTGGGGGACTCAGGTCAATAATTTCTGACATTGCCAGTTAAACAGAAGACCCAATGCTATTATGGGCTACTGGACTCTTTTAGAATATTTTGCTGAGTTTACACACCTATAATATTCAATAACGGAACTTAGAAAAAATGGGGTATACAGATGAATGTCCATTTTGTATCTGTGTATTCAAACTGGTTGGGATAGATATATAGTTACATTCTGTTAATGAATAGAATGATTTGTTCTAATGGTGTTTGTAAATAGGATCACAAGTCCGCATCTTGTACAGCAATTAACCACTAAGAAGAATATATGCAGTGTATTATTTGTTGAAAAATAAAAAAAAAAATAAAATAAAAACAAAACAAAACAAAACAAAATACTTGTAGTGGAAAAGAAACAGAATATATGAAATGAGGACTGTTCTCTGAAATTCAAACTAAAGGAAGACTTTTACTATTTATATTAATAGTACTGTACCTACTTTTGCTTCATTTATTGTTATTATTTGTTTATTCAACTGTATATTGAATATCTATTAACTGTTACAAGCTTTAGTATGTGCTAAAGAATAAAAAGCTAAAAATGAAAAAAAAAAAAAAAAGAAAGAAAGATCCAAGCCATGAGCTCTTGCTCTGTCCTTATTCCCACAGAAATATATACAGCTTTGTTGTTGATTCAGCTAGTAGTTTACAGATTATTACACCTAGAGTTCTAAGAGCATGGCAAGACAGAAAAAATGACCCACTGTTCTTTGACTTCTAGTATGTAAAAGTGCTTGATGTAACATATTATCAAGAATGACTTCTTGAAATATAAAAAACATTGGTATTTAACAATAATATAAGCCATAAAATTTACAAAATCTTACATTGTTTTAATCACTGAAAAGACATTACAGGACTGTCTTCACAACATTCATCACAGAAGTTCAAGATACAAAACACAAACCACTAATTTTAAGCTAATGCCAGACTTTTAAAATGGAAATTCAATAGCTCATTGAGAGTAGCATGGCATAAGCATTTTTCAGCTGTGTATACATTTACATTAACCTATTTAATTCAATTACTTTATGTAATCATTATAAAAGTGGCTAAACCACAAAGAAAATAATAGCATTTGATATAAAATGAGGGTAGCTTGTCAGACTTAAAATACTACCAAACAATGGCACTAAAGCTTTGAGAATGGTAATTATTCAAAAAGACAACAAAATCAGTAAATTTCTCTAGGAGTGTGTTAGTTTCTTAAGACATTTAAATTACTGTACCATTTCTCTGAATGGTGCTCAAAGAATGTTTGTGATTATATTTATATACATGCAAAAGTTCAATGTAAAAAAAGAAAATGGGTTCAACGTAGTTCACGTTTCATCCATAAAGGCACATGCACAATTTTATTCTCAAGTTATAGAATACTTACTGCATTCATATTTTAATTACAAACCCCTTTCAGTATGAGCAACACAAAACTATATCCTCTAAAAGCATTGATAATGCTATTATCTCTCCTTAGTTTTGCAAATATAATTTCAGAGTGAAAGCTTCTTCTATTAACATTTCCAGACCTGTAAAGTGTTTACACCATGACAGACATCTGTTTAAATGGTAACAGCATAGTTCTAAAGAAAGTTTGAAGGATATTTCCTAATTAGCTTCCTTAGAACCAACATTTCATTACCTAACTGGATTTCTTTTTTTATATTATATATTACAAGAAACCTGTTTCATTTTCCTGTGAAAGCAACTATAAATAGAACACTTTTTATGTGAAATAAAATATTCTTTTTTTCCTTAACTTATTGATCAAACAAATATAATACCAGTCTATAAAATGAAAATAAACAGTAGCTTTACAAATATACATAAGAAATACATGGTACATAAGGACTTAAAAGTTAATTATATTTTACTAAAAATAAAGAGAGCATTATCCAGTACTACAGTATGTCAGGCATACTGGAACAACATCGTCTCCAGATTACTATTTAGTTTGCCTAGGTGTAACACGTCAATATTTCTGTAGACTTACTACTAAAACAAAAGAATCAGCAATCTACAAGTATCTTTACAAAGTATATTTAACTGGAAACAAATCCAAAATTATTACATATAACAAGTAGCATAAAATGGATGCCTCAAATTTGATCTCTTTTGTGACATAGAACAGGGATTTGAGGTTTACAAGCAGGGAGGGGAGTACAGCTTTACCCGATTAGGAATAAGACCTGGAGCACAAAGGAAGGGATGACAGCAAAGAAGCTATTTCTATAATATCTAAAAAATACAACTGACTGAATGCGACCCACTTGACACCACCAATGAAACAAGCAGCACCATAGAAGTGATGCAAAAAGATTATTTTATCTGATGTATCACAGTGATGCTTAAGGTATTAGTACTAACTCATCTTACAAACATTTTATCACAGCAAGTTATCAATAGCTTAGTAAGAATCACTTTAAAAGTACTTTGGTAGCTATTACATAGTACAAAAAAACCCACAAAAGATTCTATTCAGAGTATATGAAAATTTACACAAAATTTAGTAATATACATTAGTGTAATATAATAGTGTTGTAGGCTGCCAAGTTATATAGAAATATTATAGGCAGTCAGACAGGCTAGGCCCTCAAGGAGACAGCATGGAAGACAAGATACCTTGCAACCAACTGTGAGGGAGACAGATGCTCCCGCTGTGTGCCAGACCTAAAGACCAAAGATGGAACAAATGCTTACCTCCCTAAAGATAAGCATCCGGATTGATCATGACCTTGAGGAATCCAGAAAGAATCACTAAGGCAACTGCGAACCGCTGACTACCAGATAAACTCCTGTTTTATATTCATGCCCACTTGCTCCATGACTCACTTGCCCATTTGGTCCTGAAATTAATCAGTTTTTCCTGAGCAATGGTGCTTGTAACCTTACTGGTTGACCATAGTTTTTCCCACCTCATGCCCACCTAAGCAAGTTCTCATTTTCTCCACCTTAGAACCACATGGTTTTACTCTACAAAAATCCCTGGAAGAGACAGCTTCCTGGGGTAACCCACTCCAGTCCCCCTTCTGTCCCTCTCTGGGCTAGAAGCTTTCTTTCATAAATAAATATCCTGCTCCTAAAGTCCATTTGTTCCTAAAATTCATTCTTCAGTTTTAGGGAACACAAACTCGTCCCAGGTACCTTTCAGTTCAGGAGTTTCATTCCCCTGTATCATTAGCACATACAATAACCCAGTTTGTCTTCAGATCATATAAATCTTTTGCCTTCTACTGAAGATTTCTGGGGAGAGGAGCAATTCTGAGTTGTGACCCAATTTTTTGAGGCCTTACATTAAGCAGGGTTAGTAAATTGAACCTGTTGGTTTCCATGGCTCTAAGTACTTGGGGTCACTCTGGATGATAATCATCTGTTTCACCTGGGGGAAAAATTTGCCAACTGGGCAGAAAGGGCAATGAGCATTGTGTACTAATGGGGGATTCCGAGAGTCATCTACAGCTCTGATTCTGACTCCAACAAAAGACTCAGCTCCGGAAGTGTTCCCTGAAAGTTTGATGCCCAGCTATCCTGCTTCTGTGTTTAGACTTTGAATAATGTGTATTAAAAGGGGAAAACACCAGGTGTGGTGCTGCACCTTCCAGAATTGCAAGCTCAAGACCAGTATGAACAAATTAGCTATTTAACAAAGACCCTGTCTTAAAATTTAAAAGGAGGAGGGGCCTGAGCGCAATCTCCAACAAATAAATAAATA